AACATGTTTGAGTGAACTACGATATTTTATAGGTAACGTATATATACTATTATGTGACAAATGTACCAATTAAAATAATTACTTTGACGTCAAATTTAAAATGTTTTTAATATTATTTCTGTTCTCTTGGTCCACTTATTACAATCATGGCAACTATAATAATATTGTGATTTACCATGTTTACAATAATTATTGATAATTATTAATATTGTGAAGTAWTAACTGAAATGAGTAAACAAAATTTGAGTATAAATATACTTTACAAGAAATTAAACGTGAATATATAATTTTATATTTTTATAATTTAAATATTCGTTGTTTTTTATTGYTTCGTTTATTACGAGACTTAAGAGTAACTTTGAGGCTATATAAAGTCACAGTGGAGTTTGGACGATTTTAACACGACAGACAAAAGTTTTATTCTGATGAGAATCTTGATGCATTACAAAGATAAAATGTGTTTAAATTTCTACTCACAGGCTTATTTCAAATAAAATTTACGCCAATATGTCATTTGACAAATTTTCAGAAATATTTCATTGATATACCTATAATAATATAATTTCTTATATCCAGTTGTCATAAAAATATTGTTTTTTGACAAAACAATAATGAAAAATACAGACGCCATKGTRGTACTTAAATTTATTAATATATTGTTTTCGTGTATATATGGTTATTATGGTTTGTAAATTAATATCTAACTATTACATTTTCAKATGATTCGCAGGTGTTTTATTCGATAGGTAGCTGAAATACAACAGTTGGAGAGCGAATAATGGTTTCGCTCGAATTGAACGACAATTATAGGACAATAGTAGTAGTTGTACAGTTCAATGGAATTATTGTTTGATCTTCCGTGATTTGAGATGGAAAAATCWCGAGAAGAACCCTATAGGTAGTATATAAACTCCCCTCTCGGTACCACAACAAACGACGCCGATTTCACGGCAGCCAATGGTTATTGATTAAAAAATAATAATAAGGTAGGTGACAAATCGACGTATATATGTATATATATA